CCCCCCCCACACGTGGCCCCATGGCCGGCACAGAGACAGGACACCGGGCGTGGAGAGGAGGCAAGAGAGAGTTTATTGTTGAGGATGCTACATTTATAGGGTTTAGGAGGATTCACAGAGTAACCAATCAGAAGTCTCAAGGGGCTTACAGGAACACCCAATCACAGGAAGGGGTTAACAAGGACCAATGGGAAACACCTCAGGACACCTTCCCAGGACATTCCTGAGATAACACTGCCGTGGGGGGTGTTGGGAAGAAGAAGCATGTGTTTGCAAAGAGACCACCAAAAGCCATTTTAAGACATGTTTAAACAACAGTTTTCCCATATAATGAAGGTTTAGTGCCACAGTTCCCGGCCTGCCTGGCTCCCCCAGACGCCTGTGCTGCGGCCTGGCCAGAGCCAGGGCAGGGTGAGCAGTGCCCTGGCTACTCCTCCGCCTCCCTGCAGATCCTGGCCAGCATGCCCAGCCGCACCATCGGTAGGTGCCACCTGCCCTCCCGCCCTTCTCCAGGCCCCAGAGCCTCTCAGGGAGCTCTCCCGCCTATCCTGCTCTCCCACGGCCACCCAAACCCTGCCCTGCTCTGGCCTGCAGGACGCAGCCTCGGGGCCATCATCTCCCAGTACTGCAACCGTACGGCCCGGCTGCGGCGCCGGAGCAGCCGCCCGCCCCTGCAGCAGCTGTGCCGTGCAGCGCGGCCCAGCCTGCGGCAGTACGACCTGGACACTGACCCCGCCGGGGCCACGCTGGAAGGTGAGGGTCCCCTGGAGTGGGAGCAGGCAGTGCCAGGCACTGTCCCTGTTCTGAGTTTGGGAAGGGCACGCCGTGACGTGGCTAGCCGTGTCCCATGAGCCCCCTGTGCCCCAGACAAGTGGAGCCTGCTGGTGAAGGAGCTGCTGAGCCTCTCGCCCTACCAGCGCAGCCAGATGCTGCTCACTTTGCCCATCAGCCTGGCAGAGAAACGCACCCTCCGGTAGGTCCCCTTGCACCAGCCCTGACCAGGCAGGGCTCCCACAGCCAGAGCCATCCCAGAACCTGTGGTACCCTCTGACACCTCTCTGCTGGACAGGCGGCAGGTGAACAGGCAGAGGGGCCTCCTGAGGCAGCGTGCCCAGCACTGGGCCCCCTCCTCACCCTGTGGATGGTCCATCGTCTACGTCAGCCTCGTAAGTCAGGGCGTGGTCTGCACAGCAACTTAGGGGCTCCAGTGCAGGCTCTGGCTCCGGTGCTCTCCCCAGGTTCTCTCTCCCCAGGGCTGCCGAGGTCTCTGGTACAGGCTCCTCTCCCTGCTCCGCACCGCACAGCCCTGGCACTACACCTTGAAGCAAATCAGTGGCCGCTTTGGCTCCAGCGTCCTCTCCTACTTCCTCTTCCTCAAGACTCTCCTTATGTTCAACTTCTTCTCATTTCTCATCCTCCTGGCCTTCGTGGTGGCCCTGCAGGCTGTGTACCCCCCTACCTCGGCCAGCCCCCCACCCTTCACCGGCCTGGAGCTCCTCACAGGAGCGGTAAGCACAGCCCACGCATCAGGGCCCGGGCACACCCGGGATAGGGGCTGCTCCAGGCCTGGGGTGCAGCCCCACATCCCCACCACAGGGATGCCCCAGTCGCTGCCCTTGCACAGCTGGGCCCCAGGACTGCCAGTGCTGTGGGTGCAAAGGGGGTGCCTGGTGCTGCCCCAGCCTAGGACTCTGTCCCCAGGGCTGGCACAGAGGTGCCAGGCTGGGTGGGGAGCTGCAGGCACCGCTGAGGTCACCATGGGCCACATCCTGTGCTTTCCCACAGGGCTACTTCACACACTCACTGCTGTACTATGGCTACTACAGCAACGTCACCCTCAATGACCCCTGCACCCCTGGCTCCAAGGGCAGCGCGTGCCCCCCCGCAGCCCCCCCGTTCCCATACAACATGCCGCTGGCCTACCTGTTCAGCGTTGGGGTCTCCTTCCTCGTCACCTGCATCCTGCTGGTGTACTGGTGGGTCAGCAGCACCTATGGCACTGCCAGCCTTCCCCCTTCACCCAGCCCTGATCCCTGATGCCCTCTCCCTCACTGCAGCGTGTCCTGCTCTTTTCGGGAGAGCGTGGGAAGCTCCATGGGGGACCTGGCTGTCAAAGTCTTCTGTGCCTGGGACTTCAAGGTGATCCAGAGGCGCTCAGTGAAGCTGCAGTGTGAGAACTTCTGCACCCAGCTGAAGGTGAGGAGCTGGGTGATACAAACACCCCCAATCCCATCCTTGCATCAGCACTTTGTCCATCATCCCTCTAGGTCCTGCCACATTGCAGTGGGACTGACCCTTGCTCTGGACACGGAGCAGTTTGGCAGCTCTGGCACTGCTCTCTTCCAGGAGCTGCTGGCAGAGCAGCGCTCCCGCTCCCGTTCCCGGAGCCTCTGCCAGCGCCTGAGGCACGGCATCGTGGGGCTGCTGGCCTGGACCCTGGCACTGGGCTCGGTGCTGGGCTGCACACTGGCTGTGCACCACTTGTCTAAGCACATGCATGTGGTGAGTGCCAGCCCTCGCCCTAGGGTTGGAGGGACTTGGCAGGGGTAGCAGGGAGGGAGGCAGGGGCAGCCCCGTTGCAGCTCTTCTCCTGGCCTGGATGTTTGCTGCCCTCCCTAAGGATGCCCGGCTGCCCAAGTCCGTGTGCTCACCACAGTACCTGCTCACCAGGTTCAGCAGGAGCAGCGAGCACGGGGCAGTGGCAGGTGGCAGCAGGAAGCCATCCTGCTGGTCCTGCCCCTCATGGTATCCCTCCTCAATGCGCTGATGCCCCACCTGTACAACTTGCTGGCGATGTGGGAGAAGCAGGACTCCCCTGTGACACAGGTCTATGTGGCCATCTGCAGGTGGGCTGGCTGGGGCTATGGTGGAGGGAGAGTCCTGCACCCCCACCTGTGGCATGGGGGACGCTTTGGGGCCAGGCACCCTGTCTGTGGGGCTTGGCCCCTCCTTCCCCTGGGCTCAGGGGCTCCTGGTCCTGCTCCTGCTCTCCAGGAACCTCATTCTGAAGATGGTGGTTCTCAGCCTGCTGTGTTTCCAGTGGCTCAGCCGGAGTGTTGTCTGCTCAACAGAGGAGGTCAGCACTGCTGCCCTGGGGCTGTGAGGGGCCAGGCTCAGCGTGGGGCCATGGAAGGAACTGGTGGTTTCTTCCTTATTAGATATTAGGAAGAAATTCTTCCATGTGGCAGTGGTGAGGCACTGTGCACAGGTTTGCCCAGAGCAGCTATGGCTGCCCCATCCCTGGAAGTGTTGAAAGCCAGGTTGGACAGGTCTCGGAGCAACTTGGTCTAGTGGAAGGTGTCTCTGCCCATGGCAGGAGGGCGGAACGAGATGAACTTCAGGGTTCCTCTAACGCAAAGCATTCTGTGATTGTATGCCACCCTTGCTTGTATCCCTAGTGCTGGGAGACATGTGTGGGGCAGGACCTTTATCGCTTTGTGGTGATGGATTTCATATTCGCCTTGCTGGACACGCTCTTTGGGGAGCTGGTGTGGAGGTAACATGCCCCAGGATGTGTCCCCCCCGGTGTTGCGTCCCTGCATGGCCCCAGCTCTCTGGTGTGCCCAGGCTCTGCCACATCGGAGTGGGAAGGTGGGTGCAAGGGTCCCTCTGGGCAGTGTGGAAGCAGAGCTCTGCTCCTCTCCAGGCTGATCCTGGAGAAGAGGCTGAGGCAGAGGCCCGAGTTTGACATTGCCCGAAATGTGCTGGAGCTGATCTACGGGCAGACCCTGACCTGGTGAGATGTCTCTGCCTGATGTGGCTCCTTCCTCTGCTGGCAAATACCCTGTGTTCCCCAAGAGCCCCGTGGGTGCCACAGCTGTGCCCACCACTGCCTCCCTCGGGGCTCAGACCCAGGCGAGCTCATCTTCCCCCCATTCCCAGGCTGGGCATTCTCTTCGCTCCACTCCTGCCGGCCGTGCAGATGCTGAAGCTGCTGCTGCTGTTCTATATCAAAAAGGTGTGATTCCCTCTGCCCCCTGCAGTTCCCCACTGGTGACACAGCGGTGACACTGTGCCCTGCCACTGCCAGCCTCTGCTGCAGCAGCGGTGCTGCACAGAGCAGCCCCGTCCTGGTGGGACTGAGCAGAGGTTGCTGGGGAGAGGGTGTCCAAGCTCACTTGGCTTCCAGCGGGTAGGAGGGAGAGGACAGCAGGGTGGGGGCCACACTTCAGGAGCCGGCAGCCCACAGGACACTGCTCCCTGTTCACAGACCAGCCTGATGCGGAACTGCCAGTCCCCCAGCAAGCCCTGGCAAGCATCGCATATGAGCACCATTTTCATCACCCTGCTGTGCTTCCCCTTCTTCCTGGGTGCAACCATCTTCCTCTCCTACACCATCTGGTCGTGAGTACCCACCAGGCCATGGCTTGGGACACAGGACCCCTGGCAGCCTGGAGACAGAGGGGCTTGGAGACACCATGCCCCCCAACCCCAACATCCCCAGCCCCAGGCTGTGCAGTGCTGTCCCAGGCAGGGAGGTGCTACCCAGCCACTGACTTGTGCCCACTTCCTCCAGCTGCTCACGGGTGTTCCTGGTGCAGGACACAAGGATGAAGATCCCTGGGGATGTTGGGGACAGTGAGGCTGGGTCCCAGGAGGGCTGGATATCTGAGACAGCATATCTGCTGAGACAGCTGGATATCTGCACATGCCCCCCTGGGCTGGGGGCAGCTGCTGCTGGGCTGCCCATTGCTCTGACCACCCCGTCGGTCTGTCTGCTCAGGGTACAGCCGTCAGAAACGTGCGGACCCTTCCGGGGGCTAGAAACCATCTACAAATCAGGGAAGAGCTGGGTGCTAGTGCTGCAGAAATCCAACCCCAACATCACTTGGTTTGCCTGGGTCCACCAGCACCTGGTGGAGAACACCTTCCTCCTGTTCTTCACGTCCGGGGCCCTTTTGTGAGTATGGACCAAGGCTGAATCCTGGGCCTTGCTTTGAGGGTCCCACTGTCATGGCCCTAAGCAGGGCTGGGAGCCAGAGTGACAATCCAGAGCCCTGTGCCCCATCCTGGTGCCAGGAGCACAGTGTTCCTCAGCTTCCTGCCCAGTTGCCACCACCCCCTCCTGTTGTTGCAGAGCTGTGATCTACTTCTACATCCAAGTGGTGAGAGGCCAGCAGAGGGTCATCTGCCTGCTCAGGGAGCAGATCACCAAGGTGTGTGAGCACCGCGCCCTGTCCCTGCCCGTCCCGGCTGCTCCAGGCCTGGTCCAGCCCCAGGACTGCCAGTTCAGGCTCTGGCCCTGGCAGCACTGCCACTCAGCTGTCCCACGGCTCTGTTGTTGCAGGAGGGGGAAGATAAGATATTTCTCATGCAGAAGCTTCACTCCGTTTATGAGCAGCGAGAGAGACGTGCCTGAGGCCCAGGTAAGGCTGGCATGAAGGGCTGGATCTGTCCATCACAGTACTGTGTGGAAGCTGCAGGACCCCAGGATGCTGGGGAAGATCCTCCCTCCTTGCTGTGGCCGAGGACCCATTGAGGCATGTCGATAGGAATGCCATGGCACAGGGATGCAGGTGCTCCTGCTGCCTGGAGCTGCTGGGATGCAGCATGTGCAGAACTAGGACTGCTGTCACACCCCAGGGCACAGCTCCATGCGGGGCTGCCTCACCAGCACAGCCCTGCTCTGTGGGTGGTCACTGCTTGCAGAGAACAGCTCTCCAGCTCTCCTCCCTACCAGCACACTGGCCCCATGGAGAATGGCCCTGGGCTGTTTTCAGAATCCTTTGGAGACAGCAGAGCTTTCTGGATGGAGAAACCTACAGCCCATTCCACGTTGCAGGGATGGAGCTGGGAGCTACCAGGCACTGACCCAGCTCCAGCCCTGGGCCTGGCTTGCCAGGAGAGCAGCTGTCTGATCCCAGTCCCACGAAAAAGGCCTCCGGGCCACCCCAGCAGCCCTACACACACTGCACCAGCTGGTAAGAGGGACTCGGAAGAACCACCGTGGTGCTGGGCTGGGCAGGGACCCTGTGGGCTCAGGCTGACCTGGCCCATTAAAGTGCTGCTGCACAGGAGGGCTCTGGCTGGTGTCTGGACCTGTTGGGCTGGAAGCAGGCAGGTGGGGTTGGTGCGTCAGCGCTGGTTGTGGTGGTGACTCAGCAGCTGTGTCAGGGTGTGCTCAGACTCCTCGGCACCGCCTGCTTGCCCATCTGGCTGCCCAGGGCAGAGCACAGCTCAGCCCACCCACTGGAACAAGGGCCACTGCTGCCCCATGAGCCATGAGCCACTGCGGGCAGTGTCTGCAGCCCCTGGCACCGAGAGCTGCTCCCCTCCATGGCGTGCTGCTGGCAGCCCCAGGCCCTGAGACAGCAGCTGCCCTGGTGCCACAGCACTGACAGGCCCAGGGCAGGATGTGCCACCGTGTGTGCCAGGCACAGGCAGCCACCAGTACCCCGTGACTTGGCACTGACGCTGCCGGGTGAGGCAGCTGGGCCAGGCTGGGCTGTCAGCGCAGGCACAGGGCGGGTTATTGTCATGGACAGACACTGGTCATAGGTGGGGGCATGGGGTGGGTCCTGTGCACAGCCCCAGCCCTTCTTGGGATGCATTAAGAAGAGTATTGCCAGCAGGTCACGGAGGTGATCCTGCCCCTCTGCCGAGCCCTGGCGAGGCCACATCTGGAGTGCTGTGTCCAGTTCTGGGCTCCTTAGGACAAGAGGGACATGGAGCTCCTGGAACAGATCCCACGGAGGCTACAGAAATGATTAAGGGACTCGAGCATCTCTTATGAGGACAGGCTGAGGGAGCTGGGCCTGTTCAGTCTCAAGAAGAGATGTCTGAGAGGGGACCTCATCAGTGTCTGTCAGTATCTGCAGGGAGGTGTCAGAGGATGGACCAGATTCTGCTCAAGGGTGCCAAGCAATAGGACAAGAGGCAACAGGCAGAAATGGATGCACAGGAAATTCTACCTGATATATAATATTATAATATAATATTATATAATATATAATATAATCCTGATGGGCCCCTTCCAACTCAGCATATTCTACGATATTCTATGAGAAAGAACTTTCCTCTGCAGTGACCACACACCAGAACAGGCTACCCAGAGAGGTGGTGGAGTCTCCCTCACTGGAGATACTCCAGAACCATCTGGATGCAATCCTGTGCCATGTGCTCTGGGATGACGCTGCTTGAGTGTGGAGGTTGGACCAGACAACCCTCTGTGGTCTCTTTCAGCTTGACCCATTCTGAGATTCTCTGAGCCCAAGTGAGTGCTGGGGAACAGCCACAGGCTGGAACTTGCTACAACTTGTGAGACATCCCTGACTGAGACATCCCCGTCAGTGGGCCTACCCCAGCTCCTGACACCCACCCAGGTTCCCCAGTCCTTCCACACCTTTCCCCAGGTCACCCCACTGTGGATGGACTGGCATGATGCCTGTAGGGCCAGAGCTGCTGGCAGGAGCCCCATATGCACTCAGTCTCCAACCCCAGCAGCCTTACCAGCCCCTGCCCTGCTTAGCCCAGCTCAGATGCTGCCCTAGCCCCCAGCCCCACTGCAGCAACCCCTCCTGTGCCCAGAGGTGCCAGCACGGTCTGGCCTCTGAGCCTTCTGCTCATCCCTTCCCCAAAAACCTGGGGTTTCCTCCCAAGCACAGGGCAGCCACCAGCTTGGACAGTTTGGTCAGAGTTTTACTGTGAAGTCCCACAGGGATACAGTCTGTCACCAGCCTGTGACACTGTTCCAGGCCCTGCTCCCAGCACCATGCAAGGCAGCTGCTCTCTGGCCACCTCCTTTGGTGACAAAATTGTCCTAGGCTGCTGCAGGCACCTGGCAGGGTCGGGGTCAATGTGGGTTTCCAAGGGTGGCCCGAAGCCACTGCAGGACATCGGCCAAACCGGTCCCATCGCGGGCGCTGGTCTCCAGCATCGTGATGGGCTGTGTGGCACAGGACACGATGTCCTGCATGCGGAACAGCGACTTCATCTCCAGCAGCGACATGTAGCAGGGCAGGTCACTGCAGTGGGGAGAGGGGGCTGCATTAGCCCACCACAACAGCTCCCCTGCCCAGCCCAGCACCAGCCTGGGGGTCTCCAGCCCGGGAAGTGCAGCAAAGTGCAGCTGCTGCCCCCGGGCAGCCCCACCCTCCGAGCTGATCCCCCTCCTCACATCTTGTTGAAGAGCACCAGGACGGGCACGGAGGCGAGCGGCGCTGCCGAAAGGACGGAGAGCAGCTGGATGCAGGACGAGGAGACCTGGGTGGGGTTGGAGGCATCGACCACGAACTGCAGGGGGAGAAGGGAAAGCGGGGTGCGGGTGTGCCGAGGGCAGCCCCGGGCCAAAGCAGGGCACGGAGGAGGGAGATCTCACGGGGTGCCAGTGCCGCTCACCAGAAGAGCGCTGCACTCGCTGTAGTAGCTGGGCCAGATGGGGCCCATGCAGCCGCCCAGCTCCCGCACCGTCACCTTCCGCGGCAGCCGCAGGTCGGTCAGGTTGGTGCCCACCTGCGGGACAGGCGCTGGGCTGGGTGCGGCCGTGCCCGCCGCCCCCCGCCGCCCCTCGGCCCCGCCGGGCCCTGCCTACCGTGGGCAGCGTGGCCGGGGGCTCGCCCAGCCCCGCCGGCTCCTCGGCGCTCAGCTGTGCCGCGCGTTAAGGACTCGCGCTGAGGAGGGGAAGGGGCTGCCCGGACCCGCCCGCCCCCGCCAGTCCCCCCGGTGCCCCCGTGCCCGGTGGATATGGCGTAGCCGCCGCACCAAGAGGCTCTTGCCGCCGCCCGCCGCCCCCAGCAGCAGCACCGTGGGCGGGGGCCGACCCGCGGCCATCGCGGCCCCGCCCCGGCGGAACCGGCCCCGCCCCGGCGGAAGCCGGAAGCGGAAGGGCCGCGGAGGGGCGGGGACGGACCGGGCCGGAGCGGTCGGGCCGGCGGCGGGAGGGCACCATGGGGCGCGGCAGCGGCACCTTCGAGCGGCTCCTCGGTACCGGCGCGGCCCCTTCGGCGGGCGGGGCGGGGCCCGGGCTGGGGGCCGCAGCAATCGGCCCCGGAGAGGGCGGGCCCGGGGCACGGCGCTGCCCGGGCCGGGGCTCGGTGCCGCAGCCCGATGCTGGCCGGGAGGAGCGGGAGCGGTGGGGCCGAGGTTACCCAGGGCCCCGGGATGTCTTAAAGGGGAGAGGGGGCTGGTGCCTTCCGGGAGACATCGGAGGTTTATTCCTGAGCCTCAGGACAGCGCCGCGCCCGGGGCGCTCCCGCGACACGTCGGTGGCGGAGCGGAGCCGCGGGGAGCGGCCGCTCACGGCATCCCGGTGGGTTTATTCCTTGCAGATAAGGCCACGAGCCAGCTCCTGCTGGAGACGGACTGGGAATCCATCCTGCAGATCTGCGACATGATCCGGCAGGGAGACACCCAGTGAGTGCTCCTGGGCTTTCGGACGCGCTGTGGGCACAGCTCTCCCGTCTGACCCTTCGGGGCTCTTGGACCTGCCAGCCCGTGGGAGCACACGTGTCTGTCCCCTTCCATAGGAGCTTTGGAAGGGCACTACAGCACACTTCAATGTGCTGACATTCTTCCCAGTCCTCAGGGGTTACAGGTTACCCCTGGCCTGAAATCCTCAGGGAAACTCAAGCTTGAATGTGCTTATACCTTCCCAGTTTCCTCCAAGGAATTGTGTACCCCTGAGCTAACTGTGCCCTCGTGTCAGAGGGGGGGTTGGCGGGTTGGCAGCAGCAGGTGGGACCTCCCCTAGGATCCTTGATCCCCTGAGGATGTGTCCTCTCTTTTGTACCCAGAGCGAAATACGCTGTCAACGCCATCAAGAAGAAAGTGAATGACAAGAATCCCCACGTGGCCCTGTATGCACTGGAGGTAACAGCACCGGATCGGGAGCGCCACGGGGACCTGGGGAATGTCCCCTCTCACCGTCCTGCCTTCAGGCTGCACAGCTTCCCTGCCTGTGGCACAGCATGGAGCCAGCCTCCTCCTGGCTCTGGCACAGAGGTTTTGGGATGATCAGGCCGGGGCCTTCATGCTTTAGGTCTGTCTTGGCTTTGGAACAGGCAAAGCTGGGACTTGGGCCACTGTCCCTGGAGTCAGTCTCCAGAGAACAAAGGCCCCCAGGCCCCTGTGGAGCTGAAGGGCAGCTGGTTCCCAGCATGGGGTGTGGATTGACACGGCCCCAGTGTGCCTCATTGCTTAAACAGTGTTCAGCCTGTACAGTGCGCTGGCAACACCATGGGTTGCAGAGGAGGCAGGAAACCGTGGGCTGATGTTGTTCTTGGCCCTTGCAGGTCATGGAGTCAGTGGTTAAAAACTGTGGCCAAACAGTTCATGACGAGGTGGCCAATAAACAGACCATGGAGGAGCTGAAGGAAATACTCAAGGTAAATCGATTTGTTTTTCTATCATTTTTTTTCTGGAAAAGCACCAGCAGCAGGAGGAAATGTGTGTGTCCTCTCCTGCATTCCTTTTGGGTAAGGAACAGAAGGGAAACTGGGAGTGCACTCCAGAAAAGAGCAAACTATCATGTGGTGTGAAGGGGTGAGTGTAGGGAGCGAAGGAGGATCTCTGGGAAGAGGAGATGTGGTGGAAGCAGAGGTTTGGCTGTGCTGTGAACAGGCAGGAATGTGCTGTAGAGGCCTGGGCCATTCCATGATAAATGCTCCTGGATGCAACACTTGGCTTGGGACAGCTAAGGAAACCAGGTGATGGCCTGGCACCTGCATTGAGGACCTGGGCAGTAGTGAGGTGAATTCCCTCCCATAGAACAGTGTGAGACACACAGGCAGGTAAAGCAGTAAAGGTAAAACCAACAGGAGCTTCCTCTGTGTTGTGGCCATTTCACCGTCCTGTGGAATAGTTCAGGAGTTCTGCAGGATGTGACCCTGGCTGCTGGCACTGACAAGATGTTGTCACAGGCTGTCACCAGTCTGATGCCTGCAGGAGCTCTGTGTGTCCTTGGTCTGGAGAATTCCATGAGTGCAGTGGAAATGAGAACTCCTGTCTCCCGCTCCCAGCTCAGAACAGCAATGCCCAGACAAGAGCTTGTTAGCATCGTGCTGTTCCTTCCTTACAGCTCCTGTCTTCCACCAGAAATAAACAGCCAGATGACCCAGATCCTTGCAGGATGAGCTGCATGAGCCCTGTCACCTCACACACTGAGCAGGGTGTCTCTCCTGTCACCTTCCTGTTAGGGCTGACTCAGTCTCCATGCAGGATCTCCTCCCAGGAGGGAACACTACTTCAGTGGGACAGCCAGGTGTGGTAGCACAGCCTCTCCAAGGGCTGAGGAGACCAGATCAGATCCAGGGATTTTGTGGTTCTCTCAGTCCTTGCCTGCCTCAGGAGTTTCACAACTGCCCCATTTTCCTCCCACACTTGGAACTTTGGTGCTCGTGAATGCCCAATGCTGGTAAAACAATTCAAGTTCTGGTGAAGTTCGGGGCTGTGACATGTGTGGAATGCAGGATCTTGCCAAACCTTCCAGTAGTTGGACCTCCAGAAATTGTCAGTAAGTCACACTGTGTGGACTGAGCTCTTGGCTGAAATTGGAGCTTGACAGTGCTCCTGTGCTTCCTGGGGGATTTCTGGAGCAGCTGGTCATGTGGATGCAATGACTTGGGCAGCTGAGGACAGGGCATCTCCGAGGCTGGCTGAGCTCAGAATAGGCTTGCCAAGTTTTCTCCAGCCTCTGAAAGTGTGATACAGTTGCCCTTGCCTCCAAAGGGCAGGCGCCCCAGCTGTCCTCACTGTGTCACATTCTAAGATGGCTTTGAGTATTCCTTGGCTGGAGGTGCTGACACCTCCAGGTACCCCCAGCACCGTCAGTGCCCGGGCGAGGCAGGCCATGCTGTTCTGGGCAGTTGAAGGTCCCGCCGTGTTCTGAGTGTGGGATGAGCAGCTCTCTTGAGGGGAGCTGCTGGGTGGGCTGGGCTGCTGTGCGTCCCAGAGCCCCTGTGCCTGGCCCTGGGCGTTTGCTCAAAGTATCAAGGCCACAGACCTGTTCAGTTGGTCTGTGCTGCTCTGTTGTTCCTGCTGAAGGGGGGCAGTGGGGCAGCCCAAGGGGTCTGTCATTTGTGTTGTGCATCGTCCTCACTGTGGGTTTCTGACAGCTCTTGTTTCTCATGAGTACTCTAAAGTCTCTCTTTCCTGACTGGTATTTCTGGCTTCTCCTTCGGGGGTTCACACCATCCTTTGGGTTTCAGGCGCTTTTTCTCAGATGTTGTTTTCTCCTCCCTTCCTGTGCAGAGGCAAGTGGAGACAAGTGTCCGCAGTAAGATCCTGTACCTCATCCAGGCCTGGGCTCACGCCTTCCGCAATGAGCCCAAGTACAAGGTGGTGCAGGACACCTATCAGATAATGAAGGTTGAAGGTGAGGACCGTGGGCACAGGTTGGGGGACACCTGGCCAAGCAGCTCTGCTCTGCAGGAGCCTTGGCAGGACCTGCCTGACGTGAGCAAAATCTGGACTTGCAGCACTGAGCTTTTCCTTGGTGCCTGATATCCAACAAACCCCTTGCAGTGACTGAATCCCACTGCAGAGATGGGACAGCCCTGTGGTCCCAGGATCAGGGCTGCCTTGCTCTGGGCCTCCAGCCCAACCAGAAGTTCAGGGCTGGTGAGAAGACCTGAACAGCAGGAGGTGCAAATGTTCTTGGGGAGACTGACAGCAAGTCAGTGTGTCCTCTGGGGTGGGATTTGCTTTGAGGCAGTTCCTTCCTCCCAGGCTTTCATTCCTGCTCCCAGGATGGGTCCATGCTCCCCCCTTCTGACAGAGTATTGCTGTGACGCTTTTCCTCCTATCCCAGGACAGCAGTGTCCCCTTCAAGGGCAGGGACATGCTGCTGCCTCTGCCTCCTGTGCACCAGAACCTCTGTGGGCAGTGGCAGAGCCTGGAGGGCCAGTCCCCTCAAGCTGGTGTTGACACACTCTGGCCATTCAAGGCCAGAGTCACACTGCCCTACCTGCCCACCCAGTGGGCTTTTTATCCCCCCATGCTCAGTTCAAGGTCTTGAGAAATAAGAAGCCTTATTCAGAGGCTCCTTATGTCCCTTATAAGTGCGTAAGGGAAACCATCAGGGATTGTCTTGAGAGTGGGGCTGAGGGGAGGCTGATGCTGGTGTGTCAGAAAAAGATACCAGGGCAGGAGGTGGTGCTGAGCTGGATCTGGTGTTTGTCCTGGCACCTGCAGCATGAGACTGCAGGCACCAAGGCCTCCCTGTGCCAGAGGATTCCTTTCACAATGGGACTCTGCTTCTCCTGCAGGTCATGTCTTCCCGGAGTTCAAGGAGAGCGATGCCATGTTCGCTGCCGAGAGGGTGAGCTGTGTGGTGGGGGGAGCTGGCACTGCAGGACACACCTGCCCTCCCATCCTCTCCCTGCAAAACCTGCAGGTCTTGCATTCCTCCCTTTCATGCAGACTGGAGACCTTGCTGGGAGAACTGATGGGGACAGGGAGTCATTCCTGTCCCCATCATTCCCCTTTCTTGGTGGCCTTGCATCATCTTGGCAGGCTGAACGTGGCAAGGCATTGCTGAAGTGATCACTGTGCAGACACGTTCCTAGAGAGCTTTGTGCTAAGTGTGAAAGTGTCACAGTCTCCAAGGAACACAAGAGGGGATAACTTGTGGGGATTAATATTTCCTGTTGAGCTGCAAGTGCCTCCATTCTCCCCTGTGCACGAGAGCCCTGTTAGCCATTGGAGCTCCTCAAAGGCCCAGTGCAGACACTGTCCTTGAGGCTCTACTCCCTCCTTACATGATTTCCCTTGACCCTGACAGGCTCCGGACTGGGTAGATGCTGAGGAGTGTCACAGGTGCCGAGTGCAGTTTGGTGTTGTGACGCGGAAGGTGGGTGCTGCTCCTGCCCCTTCCCCTTTGGGATTCTTGGCCCTGCACAGCCCTTGGGACTGGCAGAGCTCCCTGCAGGACTCTCTGCATGGAAATGTGCTGGGGACAGACCGTGTTCCCTGGTCACTGGCAGGGAAATGCTGGGATTATCTGAGTGTGTTGTCTAATGGAGAAGCAGTGTCTTGCCACTACACTGATGTCTCCCATCCTTCACAGCATCACTGCCGGGCCTGCGGGCAGATCTTCTGTGGGAAATGCTCCTCCAAGTATTCCACTATCCCCAAGTTCGGGATTGAGAAGGAAGTGAGAGTCTGTGAGCCCTGCTATGAGCATCTCAACAAGTCAGTACCCTTCGTGGTGGGTTTCTTTGCTTGCGAGAGCTGGGGCTGTGAGGGGGGAAGCATGATGTGGAGCCAGTTCCCTGCAGAGCAGGGCGAGGGTACTTCCCAGGCTGTGCAGGCTGTTCTGGGCGCCCTTCCTTCCCAGGAGCAGGGTTTGCCGCTGAAATATTGTGCAGAGCTGGGGCTCTGGTGCAGAGGAGGGAGCGTTCAGTCCACACTGTCACCTCTCACTGCAGGAAGGCTGAGGGCAAAGCTGCTGCCACCTCCGAACTGCCCCCCGAGTACCTGACCAGCCCTCTCTCTCAGCAGTCCCAGGTGAGTGGCTGCCCTGTAGGTGATCTGGTGATCCTGACCTGTTTGTTGACCCCATTACTGACCACCTTCTCATCTTTTCACTTCAAGCTGCCTCCAAAGCGCGACGAGACAGCTCTGCAAGAGGAAGAGGAGCTCCAGCTGGCTATTGCCTTGTCTCAGTCAGAGGCTGAGGAGAAGGAGAGAATGGTTTGTGCACTGCTGGGATCTGGGAGGGGTCATTGCTCTTCAGCCCAGGTGTACTGGGCCATAACAGATCTCTGGGCATGTCCTGGCATGAGCGAGGTGCAGGGCCTGTGGAATGAGAGGGTGAAAGGAGAGCCAGGCATGGGCCGTGTTGCAGTTGGTTTGGAGGAGTCTGGACAGTCCCTGAGTTGGCAATTTTCTCTTTTGCAGAGGCAGAAAACAACCTACTCCATGTACCCTAAGGCTGAGCCCACCCCCGTCACGTCATCGGCTCCCCCGGTCAGCACACTCTACTCCCCGCCCGTGGTACGTCCATGGGAGCCCTGGGCATGCAGGCCACTTCCTGAGCCTGCCCTGCTTGTGTCCAGTTTAATCCCATTCCGAGGGAAAATAGTTGCCCCATTCAACCCCTTGCTCCTTCACTGTGTTTTGAGCAAGAAGGTCCGTTCCTAAGTGGCATTTAGGTGCCTCTGCTGCTTCCCGGAGCTGTAGTGTGTGTCCCGTTTGAGGCTCTTGCTGGTGCTCAGCACTGGTGGTTGTACATGGCCAGGTCTGATCCAGACATCTGTGTGGGAACTGGGGGGTCTCTTGTTTCTCTGAACTGCTTTTCCCTATTTGTCTCTTCCCAGAATTCCTCTGCTCCCTTGGCTGAGGACATTGACCCAGAGGTAAGGATCTCAGCCCTGTTAGTCTATGGCACAGGCTTGCTTCCACGAGGCAGCAATGCTCACCTTCCTTCTCTTCCTGGCAGCTGGCTCGGTACCTGAACCGCAACTACTGGGAGAAGAAACAAGAGGAGGTTCGCAAGAGCCCCACGCCATCAGCACCCCTGTCCCTGACAGAGCCGACTGCACAGCCTGGGGAAGCCCACCCCGCCCCACTCGGGGTGGTTGAGGTAAGAGAGGGCCCGGACCTGGGTCTGGCACCTGCCAAGGGGCAAGAAGCACCCGGACTCCTTGGCTCTGTAGGCTGGCTGCCAGCTCTTGGCACCGGGGGATGACGGCTATCGGCTGCCCCGTCCTTCTTCCAGCAGCAGTACCAGAATGGCGAGTCTGAGGAGAACCACGAGCAGTTCCTGAAGGCGCTGCAGAACGCAGTCACCACGTTCGTCAACCGCATGAAGAGCAACCACATGCGAGGCCGCAGCATCACCAATGACTCCGCCGTGTTGTCCCTTTTCCAGTCCATCAACAACATGCACCCGCAGCTGCTGGAGCTGCTCAACCAGCTGGACGAGCGCAGGCGTGCGTGGGAGCTGGGGGAGCTGCTGGCCCTGGGCGTGGGCGGGCAGCTGCCGGGGCTTCCCCAGTGCCAGCGTTTGGCATTCCTGTGACGCAGCCTCTCCAGAGACTAGTGAGGAGTGCAGGGGTGGTCCATTGCTCTGTCCCCATGTCCCTGAGGCTGTCCCTTCCCTCCCCAGTGTACTACGAAGGCCTGCAGGACAAACTGGCCCAGATCCGGGATGCGCGTGGGGCTCTGAACGCGCTGCGGGAGGAGCACCAGGAGAAGCTGCGCCGCGCAGCAGAGGAGGCAGAGCGGCAGCGCCAGATCCAGCTGGCCCAGAAGCTGGAGATCATGAGGCAGAAGAAGCAGGTGAGGCAGAGAAGCGTGTCCAGGGTATTCCAGGCCTGCCTGTGCCGTGGATCAGCCCAGGGCTGACAGGGACAGCTGTCCTAGTGGGAGGGGGTCTGTAGTGTCCTGGCTCCAAGACATCACAGTCCCGTGTCCGCAGGAGTACCTGGAGATGCAGCGTCAGTTGGCCATCCAGCGACTGCAGGAGCAGGAAAAGGAGAGGCAGCTGCGCCTGGAGCAGCAGAAGCAGACCATCCAGATGAGAGCCCAGATGCCAGCCTTCTCATTGCCCTATGCCCAGGTACAGCTGCTGGGCCAGGAATCCTCCTGCCAGGTCCCAGGGCCTGCAGCCTAAGGCTGGCTTTCCTTCTCCCACCAGCTCCAGGCCATGCCGGCAGCCAGCGGGGTGATATACCAGCCCTCTGGGCCCACCAGCTTCCCTGGCACCTTCAGCCCAGCCGGCTCTGTGGAGGGCTCTCCCATGCACAGCGTGTACATGAACCAGGCTGCACAGGGAGGCACAGGGCCGTACGCCGCCATGCCCGTCACCGGGACTGGTACGTTGGGCAGCTCATCCCACAGGGGTAGGGGTGAACCGAGGTGGTTGGTCTAACCTCTGCCCTCTCTGCCCAGATCCCAGCATGGTGAATGCCTACATGTACCAGCCGGGGGCCGGCAGCGGGCAGGGGGCTCAGCAGGGGACAGCAGTGCCCACCACCACCCCAGCATACTCGTCCTACCAGCCCACGCCCACACAGGGCTACCAGGCAAGTGAGGCAGCACAGCCTGTGGCCTGCTGAGGTGAGGGCTGGGGGCCTGGGGCAATGTACCCCACCTCATCAATGGGATCTCTGAGCAGGAGGAAGGACGGGCTGGCTGGTCCCAGACCTCCAGATCTGCTGCTCTCACTGTGGGAGTGGGCTGGGGTCAGAGCCAGTTCCAGGCTCTGGGGTCTTGGCTGGAGCTGTGAGCCATCGCTGCCTGCGCCGCCTCTCACCAGGCTCTCCCCACAGAGCGCGGCCTCGCAGTCGCAGAGCATCCCGGCCATCTCCCAGGCCCCCCAGTCGGGTGCCATGGGCTACATGGGCAGCCAGTCCGTCTCCATGGGCTACCAGCCCTACGGCATGCAGGTGAGCGTTCCCCACTTGGGCATGGGGGGGATGAGGTGTGGGTGGGCTCCAGCCTATGGAGTCGTCCTGGAGGAGGCCTGGCAGAGGCTGGGGTCTGTCACCACTGCCCCACGGGTGCTGTGTGTCCCTTGGCCCCTCTGACACCCACCCCCTCGCTCCCACAGGGTCTCATGTCTGCCCTCCCAGGCCAGGATGCAGCTCTGAGCAGCCTTCCAGCCCAGCAGTCCTACATGCCTGGGCAACAGCCCCTCTACCAACAGGTAAGTGCCACCAGCCCAGGGGGTCAGGGCCCCAGGGGGGTCAGGACCCAGTGGGGCATGAGTGCTGATGAAGCCACATGCTAATGAAACCACTTTGTCTGTTCCAGGTGGCCCCAGCCGGGGGGCCCCCCCAGCAGCAGCCTCCACCGGCGCCAGCCCCCGGGCAGCAGCCCCCGGGCAGCGGAGAGGCCCAGCTCATCTCATTTGACTGATCAAGGCCACAGGGCATGGGGGACCCTGGGGGTCCTGTGTAACACTACTCTTCATCCAGAATCACTCTGTACTTCGACTGCTCCTCCTGTCCCCTGGCCCCATGTCCGGGGGCAGTGGTGCCTCAGGCTCCCATCACAGGCTCTGGGGACCAAGCGGCAGGGGCACAGCCCCCTGCCCCCGACTGCCCGGGGCTGCTGCCCCCGCCTCACCCACCCACCCCCCACTCCTCCCTGGCAGCGGTGGCCCCTGAGGCCGGGCAGGAGCTCGCCCGGTCCCTGCCGTTGCCCCGGGGCTTGTGGCCGCGGGCCCCGAAGGAGCAGCGCTTTAGCCCTGCCCGGTTCCCGGCGCCAGCTTCGCCCTGTCCCCGCTGAGTCCCGCTCCCCGCAGTGCCCTCCCGGGCCCCTCGCCGGGCCGGGCCCGTCCCGTCCCCGCCCCTCGCGGGGGAGACCGAGCGCGAACGGTGACAATAAAGCGTTGGAACGAGCTGCGGCCCCGTGTGCTGGGTTGGGGGGCGATGCCACCGGACTTTGCCTACACCTCCCAGGGCCAATCGCTTCGCTCCGCCCCTCCCGGCCGTGTCTCGGTGCCGAGCGCCGCCCAGCCCGCTCGGAGCGGCGGCGCGGCGCGGGGCCCGCCGGGAGCGCGGGGCGGAGCGCTCGGTGTCCTCGGGGCCGCCATGCTGCCCGCGGTGCTG